AGTCGAGCTGATATCCGTCGACTCATCAGATACATGCCTCGAAGAATTCGCGCATGCCTGTCCAACAGAGATGCTTTTATCCGATATTAGTGACGTTGGCTGCAAAATGCAAATATAGAATTCGACCCCCGTCCTTCTGAGCGACCTACATTAGAACCCATTAGAGCTGATCGCCTACTCCCCAGCAGATATGATCATATCATTTCCATTCGCCAACACCATATAGATCAGAAGATATGTCTTGATGATTCCCACTATCCCCTACTTTTTTTTAATAATATATATTCCACAGTTTAAGAAAGTTCTAGAGTACTTTATAGCCGTGAAAACCGTTATTTATTTCTGAAGCAAAATCCGTCCATATTTTGATTCGTGTTTCGCATCGGCCTCTCGTCCCATTACCGTTTTGTAATGGTGTTCATATACAGCCATTTATCACCCTGAATATACATCATCCTTATCTTGAAGGCCAAAAACGCCGTTTCATAAAAAAAACATTCTTGCTGGATTGTTTCGGAAGATATTCGAAAAGGGAATATTTTTTTCGACTTTAAACTTTAAACCGTTGCACAACGAATATGCCACAATAAACATGCAGTGAGTCTGTTAAAAGTCATAAACAATTGTGAACCAAAGGCATGTTGGGTTTTGGCTTCTTTTTTTTAAAATGATATGCAGCGCATCCATCTGAAATGAGAAACACAGAAAATGATATACTGAGCATCCTTCTGAGATGAGGATGGCTTGAGGTTCCGTACCTATAAGTTGCTGTTCATTTCACGCTCATTGGCATACAGCAGCCACATTCAAGCATGATTCCAAAACGTATTTTATTTTCTTGACGATGTCATCACCAGTTGCTCTGATTGAACTTGACTTTATTCCGACAGACCTGCGCTTAAGTGGGTGCCTGTGTTGAACTTTTATCAACCGGCTTTGTCTTAGCTCCGCGCTGTATCAGTGATTGAAATCGAGCGAATAGTTCCATGGGCAGTTAATCGATGGCGAAAGTGTGATTTGTTTACAAATGCTTCCTCTAATTGACAGAATGAAGCACTCATCGACTCTCGTCGCTGAGTGATACGTCGCAGTCTAAAGTTAATGGTGACTTTCGCATTAACTTGCAACCATATTGATGTTAACATTTGTATAGAACACAATGAACATAATCTTGTTTAAGAGCAATCATATGCCAGTGCATATAAAGAGATTGTTAGAAGAATCTGAATGTGTGTGGTATTCCCATCCCAGAAAATTTATGACACGTAAAAACACGACGTTAATGAAGTCTTTATCATATAATGTCAAGAACTGGTCAGCTCGGAGTCAGTATAATCTGTCTCAGTGTGTCTCACATCACGCCACTATATAAGTGAAATAATCTTACATTAAAACCCATTTCACCTCACCTCACTCATTGAAGTAACAAAACCGCGTATAAATATACTCAACAACAAAAGTTCCTGTGACACCAATATTTTAGTGTATTTTTCAAACAAGTAAAGTTTGGTTTTCAATATTGTAGTACATGTATGGAATCAAGTCATAAAAACTACTATAGAAAAGCATTCATTCCATGTATAAGTTGACTTTTATCCAAGAATGGGTATAAAAACATGTGCGTTACCGGGATTCCATATGCATTGTTTAGCATCGTGCTGACAACAACCACTCAGAAAAACAACAAAATTACGCAATTATTTAACATTACGAAATGCCATGCCTGTCCGAAAATGAGCGTCTGCGAGCCATTGGTATGCTTGAAGCAGGATCGAGTCAACGTGATGTTGCAAGACAATTTAATGTCCACAGAAACACCATTTGGTGTTTATGGCAACGTTGGCAACAGACGAATGCAGTCAGAGACCATCCTCGGGGTGAAAGGCCACGCGTTACCAATAATCGACAAGAAAACTGGATTCGAACAACACACCTACGAAATCGATTCCAGCCAGCAACAGTGACCGCAAGAAGCATCCCTGGCCTTCGACGAATATCTTCACAAACCGTACGTCGTCGCCTCAGATGTGCAGGGATTGTCGCCAGAATACCCACCAGACGTCCCATTTTGACAGGAAACCAAAGTCAAGCACGTCAACAGTGGTGCAGACAGCGTCAACGCTGGACGGCCATGCAGTGGGGACAAGTTCTATTCACTGACGAGTCTCGTTTTCACCCCAGCCACAGCGATGGACGGATTCGAGTGTACCGACGTCGAGGTTAACGTTACGTCAATCATTGTGTCATGGAAGAAGATCGGTTCGACGGTGGCAGCGTTATGGTATGGGGTGGGATTACAGCAAGACCCGTTTGATAGTGGTAGAGGGAAATTTCAATGGACAGTGCTACCGCGACGAGATCATTGGCCCTGTTGTTCTACCGTGTTTGCGTCGTCATGGCCCAGGCATTACCTTTCAACATGACAACGCCCGTCCTCATTTTGCTCGACTTGTTCAGGATTCTCTTCAACAAAACAACGTATATGCCATCCCCTCGCCGGCTCGCTCCCCTGATCACTCATGTTGGATGAGATGGATCGACGCCTTCGACGTCAACCACATGTTCCGCAGACACTCCAGGAACTTCGAAACATGCTCCAGCAGATATGGACAGATATCCCACAAGACTTTGTGCGACGCCTGGTCCATTCCATGAGACGAAGATGTTTTGCTTGCATCGCAACCAGAGGTGGACACACACGCTATTGATTTGTAAATTGACATTTTGGCATGTTCATGTTTTTTTTAGAAATCACGCATTTTCTGAAGTTAGTATGGCAAAATAAACCATTTGAACACTTACTGGAGTCTCTTATCTGTTGCAAACCGAAATTGTTTCAGATTTGGTAAAAAACATAACTTTGCATTAAATCTTATTCAATGTCACAGGAACTTTTGTTGTTCAGTGTACAACGTGAACATGCAAAGTTACAACAAGATCAGGACACGCTAACCCTCTTTACGAACACCTGGTGTCATAACCGATTTACAGTGATCCATTCATATCATTTTCATCACTACTTCGACACTGGTTATTCTCAAACGTTGCAGTTTTGAATTCGCTGTATCCTGAGCACCCGATTGGCTTTTTACAACAAAAATAAATGGTTGTGACTCAGTTCTGACCCAAATCCCCAAGATTGTGATTTGGTAATCCGTATTAAGTTACCAAATGGTACGTGTACAAATAATTAACCTAATTTAAAAATACTATGTATCAATATAAAGACCACTGTGATTTCAAAACGCGAAAGGATTGGGGTTTTTTCTGCTCGTACTTCATCAATGGTAAATATCTGGGGTGTGCATCAACTTGATCCTTCCTCACACATTACAAGTAACTTAAAATAGTGCCACGACTAGCATTACATTTAAACCTTTGGGAATACGCAGGAAAGGCAACTAATTGGAAACTACAAATTGGCTAAAATTGGAATCAATTTATCCCTCTATCGCAAGTGTCTACCCCATACACAAACTGTTGACGTCCTATTTACGTTAGTCCCACATTGACAAGGCAAAACAATGACAGATGGTCATTAATGGAGGTAATATCGTTGGTTGCCGTTTGTTATTATTTCGAAAAATGTTTCGTTATAAACTGTACTTTTCTCATTTAACTCGTCAAGACTCGTCGAGACTGTTCGTTTCGCAAAGCGCCATTTTGTTACTCGACCAGCGTGTATTCTTTCACTTCCAGCAGAAGTCTCGTAGGTTTCAATAATATGTTTTGTTGAAGTTGTTTTTGTATATTAGTGACCTCAAGTATTTATTATTACTTTTGTTTATATTTTTTAAGATTTTGCAAACTCGTAACTACTTTTTAAGTCGCGGGTGGGGAAACGTCCCTGCGCGTTAGGTAGGGATAATTTACCCTGATGTATTACACCAAATACCTCTACACAAACATTGCATTTGGACATTTTTAGGGAACCCCTCCGAACTCCATCTAATCAAATCTTTTCCTTCGCCTTTTTTTACTTTCTGCCTACGAAAACAAATCAGTTCGATTGGCTGAAACTGTTGAAAAACATCTAATCCCTCAATTGACATCTACACATTGAGTACAAGAATGACGAGTACGATCAAACGTTGGCCAAAAGTAAATAACACAAAAATTTAAAAACAACTTCAGAAAAACTAGGCTCTTACGAACGTTTCACGTTTTCAGCTTTTCAGTGCAGTCGGCTACAGTTACGTAATCAATGTTTTCTTGCTTACTGAGCTTTCTGTGGAAAGAGCCTCCATGGAAGGCTATTAACTAATAGAAGGCAATATGTCCCACCGTGTCATCTCCCTTATCGCGTAAATCACAACGGATATTGCAGATAACATATTATCCGAAGCATCGATACACTTCCGTCCTGTTTCTTTTTACAAAGATTTGTTTTACCTGTTTTCGCTTCAAAAATAAACAGAGACAACGGTTTAACTGTTCCTTTAAGTAATGTATTTGCCAAAAACAACAAGGAGATCCTATCATAAACAGTAACAACAAATTGCATTCCCATGTATCATTGTTTTACATCAATGAAACTCAACTAGACGCGACGATCCTGCAATAACCAAAACATTGCCTCGAATAAATCAATATTCTGTTATTTCCTCGGAACCCTCTAGCAACACCTCCTTATTGAATTCAAACCATCATTTAGTCTTTGAAGTACAGGCGTGCATCATATGAACTTCGGATGATGCACATTAAAGTAGCTAAATCACTTTTTTCAAGGGTGTGGGCTGCTGAAATTGGCATAGGCTTGTTTTTTAACCAGGCCCAAGTTGGGAAAGGTGTTTTATTCCACTTGAAGTAAATCATCACTCTTCTAGTGTGTCATATTAAAATAACGATATGCCGAGCGTTTCTGCACCAATCCTAGTCGATGTTAATGATGGATGTTTGTTGATGAGACAATTGCCCAGAGGTCCAATGGTTGAGGCAGAACATGACATTTCTTCTGTCCAAGAAAACATGCCGCCTTATAACCCTGAACAAAGACGAAAGACTGTCGCTAAAGACTGTTTACTGTCTTCCGAGAAGTAACTTTTCCATCGGCGCTGCTCAAGGGTTATATCCCGGAAGATATTTTCCCATCACGTCCTTTCATATACTTACTGTCTAATTGAAACATCCTATTAACTCTAGTCCTTAATTGAACCAGCATTGTTCCACGACTTGGGGCGGAAACAAGCTTTTGATGCAAGAAACCCGCGTGTACCGTCCTTCCCAAGGAGGCCTGCGGTAGAGGTAAGGCTGGAGAGGTGATTAGACACAGTCACCAGAGTCGCATCGACCAGCCAACGACTGCCTGCCGCACTGCTGGATGGGTCTTGTCAAGTGCCTTTACACGGTAAAATGAACCCTATGATCAACGAAGCAGAACACACGTTCACGTAGCAACTTGTCTCCGATAATTGTCAGGGGTTGGCTCGTTTTAGTGTTGAGTTGCCTTTGCACGGGATTACTTTATGTTTCGTCATGTCTGTCTCTGGAGCGGGCCAGAATGAGAGTGTGTTTCACAATAGCACGTGGTCACGGGTCTACAGCAACAACCCCGGGTTGAGACTTAGTGCTGAGATACAGATAGCATTATATTCTATCATATTCCTTCTGTCCGTCGTTGGCAATGTGCTTGTAATTGTGACTTTAATCCAGAACAAAAGAATGCGTACAGTGACCAATGTGTTCCTTCTGAATCTGGCAATCAGTGACCTTCTCCTCGCCGTCTTCTGCATGCCTTTTACGCTGGTGCCTGTTCTACTAAGGGACTTCATATTTGGCGGTGCAATGTGCATAATGATTCGCTATCTACAAGGTAATACACCATATTGTCCTCGGGTAAGAACCAACACTGAAAATATGTATTGAACTTTTTCAATTTTAACAAAACTGAAATTCAAATTCAAATCTTCAAGTTGCTATCTATAAACCGTACTAAATCAGTTTTGGTTCTTGTGTATCATGATTGGTATTTATGTACTCACATTATGCTTTATCCGTTCTTATTGGTTTTCACAGCTAGTGAGAAGAAAACTGGGGAGCTTTCGAACGATTTGTTTTATATTATGATTATATTACATTTCAGCAAAGTTGGTCATTGATTACATCATATTTTGTAGCAAATTATGGTCATTATTCCATATCAAACTACCGGGGAGGACATTTGTTTTGTGAAAAGGGAAAGAGTATGTAAGAAAAATTGACTTTGTTGCTACCTCAATCTAATTCTGATTCTTTATGACTCCATTTGCACTTTTCATGATCGTTTTCCAAATATATACTCATAAAAATTGCAAAAGAAAGCGAAATACAATACAACTGATGTCCATCAGTACGAAACTAAGCGTTTCGCTGTACCGTATCTATTTAGTCTTGACAAATAGCCGTGCAGCTCACTTAAGGACAATTCATTATGAGATGGAAGATCGTTACAGATGCGACATGCATTCTTGTTCAGTTGACAAGTTGACCCCACTCCACAGAACCTACCCACTCTCCACTGAAGGTTAAACTTCAAAATCATAAATATGTCAATTATAATGATACAAATATTTTGTTAAACCTTCACCATATTATCGTAATAAACGAGCGACGTGGAATAATGCAGAGTTTGAAATACAAAATGACAACATGGAAAATATAAGGTTGAACAAACGTTCTATCAACGACTACACTGTTGACAAGCTTTTCTGGAGCTATATTGAAGAATGCAATAAATTATTTCTGTAAGATTGATATGGAAAGGCATTTGAACCGACATTAGAATCGTTATTGATATGTTAGGGATATGTTAAAACATTGATGTGTTATTCCACTTGCGCCTCGTGGGGTTTCCAAGGTCCCAAGTAACCAGTGCTTGTCAGAGTCGAGTAAAAGGGATCGGATGGTCGGACTCGTTATTTGGAAGATGGCGTAACATGTTGCTCGGGCTTTAGGTCACCTGGATTTGCACAGGAATATTGCTGACTTTGAATGAAAGCAATAATTGCCCATCCACTCACTCATGATACTGAATTCTCTTACCTCATAAAACCAATGTTACAGATGGCAACATTTTGTTGGATATAGCCAACAATTCTTCATCAATTCAGTCACTGGAAAACACATAGTTAATTAACTTAACAACTTTTCAATTTATGCCAAATGTCACACATTTATTCAAAACAGATATTATATTACTATAATCGCACTTCTTACTGTGGGTTGTTCAGTGATCTGATATGATTAATGCACAGAGTAATAAACTAGTAAAACAGCTTAATTACATGTACATGGGTAAGTAAAGTATGCAGGGGCCACAGGGGGCCATTCGATGAGTTGCGTCCCTTGGCCTCGTCAGGATCCGATTGTTATGGTACGAATCTCAATTTCGCCCCATTGGGATTCTTGATTTGTAAGCACTATATCCATGCTCAGTGGTTTTATCAAAGTTGCGAAAGAAACAAAATGATAATCATATTGGACTCTTATATGAAACTGACATTTCGGATGTTAATGAAGTACTGTTCAAAGCTGCGAATACCAATTTTACTGTCTCACTGACTCGCTGAAGAAGTACTGTGTAACATGTATGCACTTCAGTGCAGATGGTCATGTCACGAACGACTGTCAAGGCGTTGCTGCACTACAACGTAAGACCAGTTCGACAGCTCTCTATTCCTTTTTGCAAGAAGAGATTTAATTGGATCAGTTTCAGACTCTTCACGCTTTCAGTCCCGAATGTATTTGCTTGATTAAACATTAAGCAACATTGTTTTCATGACGTACCTGGAATAAATGCAACATTTGAACAAACGTTACTTCACGTCTCCATGACATAAATTGATCGAATTCAACATTAAACAACATTTACTTCACGCCTCCATGACAAAGCTGCAATCTACGCTCATGAAACAACATTTACGTCACGTCTCCATGATAAAGCTGCAATTAAAACAACATTGAACAACATTTCCTTCACGCCTCCATGACAAAGCTGCTATCTACGCTCATGAAACAACACTTATTTCATGCCTCCATGCCAAAGCTGCAATTAAGACAACATTGAACAACATTTACTTCACGCCTACATGGAAAGGCTGCAATCAACGCAGCAATAAACAACATTCACTATACGTCTTCGTCACATACCTGTAACAAACGCAAAACAACAACTGTAATGAACAACATATATTTCACGTCCCATCGCGTCTCCACGTAATCCGGGACCATATATATTTGAAACAACATTGTTTGACACTCATTTAAAGGTATCTCTAAAGAACACCACGCTTAGTAATTTTAAAGTGGGACACTCATTTAAAGGTATCTCCAAAGGACACCCCGCTTAGTAATTTAAATGTGGGACACTCATTTAAAGGTATCTCTAAAGAACACCCCGCTTAGTAATTTAAATGAGGGACACTCATTTAAAGGTATCGGTAATCGGATTAATTAATTACCCGCTAGAATAGGTGAAATGCACTCAGCTGAAAATGTGGCTCTACCGGCAATAGCCATTTCTGAAATGTGGCTCTCCCAGCTAGACACCATTCATTCACTTGTGGGATTTAATGCTCCTTGCCTCGTATCAATTTAGTGTACATACAAAGGGACATAGTGAGTGTGTTGTGTTAAGATGTTCTGTTCTGTCACTGAAGATACATGTGATCTATGATATATAACTTAATGAACTCTAACCCTGGCATGTGGGCTTCACATATTGACGACCAAAACAACCTAGGTTTTGGTAAAGCTGTCACATCTTCTTCCACATAATGACGTCCAAACCCACTAGTTCCGCCTCCGTACATGTGAGGATAACATGTTTATGTGCTGAATAGCTTTATATGCAAAGGAACTGCCTTATCAATAATTCACTGTCACAATCATCGAGTTCTTTATTACTTATAGATAAGGTAAGTTGTTATCAGCGACTGTTTCTGCCAATCTGATGGCCTCTGTTTTGACAATAATTGAATGGTAGATAGTGTGATGTGATCCAACTCTTCCATTGCATGTTCTTATCGGGATTCACGTCCGCTGTTTTTTTACTTTCCTATCCATCACGCCTTCCATAATATTTGTAAATAGTATTATTCCATTAAACCAGTCATCATGAATGCACCTGGTATCACTGATATTTGATAAGGATTCATAAAACTCGTTCAATGGACTTTCAGTAGAGATTTTTCATGATTATTGTAATGTTTTGTATAAGTTTTTATTGATTTGATGACTGCATTGCATAGTACAAATGCAGGTACGTTACTCAAAATACTGTAAAAATCATATAAGAAACATTATTATTCTTCAGGATATTTTATGTGCATTATTTTTATTCCACCTTTTGTGGATTACATTTAATAGATTATTTCACGTCTTTTGTTATTTGTTCCTCTCATTATCACTGTTGTAGCATAACAATCACAATGCAATATTACAATAGCTGGAAATAAGGTTAGAGGGTGTCTGTATTTGTTTATCTATTTACTGGAAAGGTCGGGAGAATTGTGACATGTCATGACAACATGGCTGTCGTTTTCCACCAGAAGTTGTTTAGTGCTCCGAGGCCGAAGGATATGTATTGCGATGTTGTGCAATCCTTTAATCATCTCGCCCGGAGAGATGGTAACACACTTTTCACAGAGGCGAGCGAGTTTGTACGTGTGGGTAATAGGATGTGTATAGTTGGGTGAGTGAGTTTGCGAGTTTGGGTGTGTAGGTAATAGAGTGTGTGTAACTGTTGAGTGAGAGTGTGAGGTTGGGTGTGTTGGTTATATGATGTGTCTAGTTGGGTGGGTGAGTGTGTAAGGTTGAGTGTGTGGGTAGTTGGGTGTGTGAGTGACAGTGTGTATGGTTGAGTGTGTTAGTGAGTGAGTGTGTAGGGTTGAGTGTGGGGGAGCTAGTGTGTAAGGTTGAGTGTATTGGTGAGCGAGTGTGTATGGTTGAGTGTGTGGGTACTTGGTGACAGGGGAGTGAGTGACAGAGTCTGTATGGTTGAGTGTGTCAGTGAGTGAGTGAGTGTGTAGGGTTGAGTGGCGGGGAGCGAGTGTGTAAGGTTGAGTGTGTTGGTGAGCGAGTATGTAAGGTTGAGTGTGTGGGTAGTTGGTGACAAGGGAGTGCGTGACGGAGTGTGTATGGTTGAGTGCGTCCGTAAGTGAGTGAGGGAGCGTGTAAAAATGAGTGTGTGGGGTAGCGAGAGTGTAAGGTTGAGTGTGTTGGTGAGCGAGTGTGTATGGTTGAGTGTGTGGGTAGTTGGTGACAGGGGAGTGCGTGACAGAGTATGTATGGTTGAGTGCGTCAGTGAGTGAGTGAGGGAGTGTGTAAAATTGAGTGTGTGGGGTACCGAGAGTGTAAGGTTGAGTGTGTGGGTAGTTGGGTGTGTGAGTGACAAAGTGTGTAAGGTTTAGTGTGTGGGTATTTGGGGGAGTGAGTGACAGAGTGTGTATGGTTGAGTGTGTCAGTGAGTGAGTGAGTGTGTAGGGTTGAGTGTGGGGTAGCGAGAGTGTAAGGTTGGTTGAGTGTGTGGGTAGTTGGTGACAGGGGAGTGCGTGACAGAGTGTGTATGGTTGAGTGCGTCAGTGAGGGAGTGTGTAAAATTGAGTGTGTGGGGTAGCGAGAGCGTAAGGTTGAGTGTGTGGATACTTGGGTTGGTGAGTGACAGAGTGTGTAAGGTTGAGTGTGTGGGCAGTTGGGTGTGTGAGTGACAGAGTGTGTAAGGTTGAGTACGTGGGTAGTTGGGTGTGTGAGTGGGAGAGTGTGTAAGGTTGAGTGTGTGGGTATTTGGGGGAGTCAGTGACAGAGTGTGTAAGGTTGAGTGTGTCAGTGAGTGAG